AAATCTCACGAAGTGTTCCAGCATGGCTTGCATCTCCAAACAAACCAGCTAACCATTGCTCTTGAGAATCAACGTCAGCACCAACGAGAACACTCCCTTGCGGTGCTTGCACAAGACTCTTGATTCCTGTTCCAATCCTATTCGTACCCTGAAAAGGCAGAATTTGTAGGTATATGCTGAAACAGTTGTAAAAAAGATTATTTTGATGACTTACAGACTCATTTGTGAGAGTAACCCATAGTTTGTGTACACTTCTTCGTGAAACAGTGCCTGAAGGGATGATGGCTGGAGCGATAGCACCAACGCGAGCTCCTTCTTCAGAGTACCACACTGGTATTTCGGATTCATAACGTTTCCTGGAATACTCTTGTAGATAGATTCGTTTCGATGATCTCACACTCACTTTAACCAGAACTGCTAAAAAATAGCATGTTTCTTCGAGTAGGATGTGGAAAAAAAAGAAAAATTGTTAGGCTAAACCTATTGTGTTGGAGAAAAGTAGGAAGAAACACAATTTGATATGACTGAGGAAGAACAAAAGAAGTATATTCTCATTGCAGACAGTGAACATCAAACCTTTTCACAATTTTAAAATGCACACCAAAAGTCCAATTATTGACGGCACTGCTTCAGACTACCAAATAAAGATCTGATTAGGAAGCATTTGTCTAACGCTTTTATATCATAATAAAAAAAGCCTCTAGCTATCAAACAATTCTTCCGTAAATACAGAGATGGTTTAAAAAGTAGAAGTGTAGGTTACAAACTTATAGTTGGTCCAAAACTTAGTGCTCTTCAGTGCTTCGAGTAGGACGAAAAACTGATCGACATATCTCGTCGGTCGTAGCACTTCTGCTTCGATAAGGCGAATAAAATGCTTGCCAAGTGGATCACCAACATTCTGCGCGCCGAGCTAAAATAAAAATTTCAGGGAAAAGAATTCTCTAATCTAAGTCGCACCATGCCACTAGTGTGTATTTAGCTTAAAATGTTTGATTTCAAAACGGTTATAAAACTTTATTGAAGCGGGAATGCCACATAATGGAAAAAAAATTCTTAGCCTTATCACTAACTCAATGCGTCTTGTGCCAGCTTAAAAGGTTGTGAAATTCCATAGTGGAGTGATTTCTATTTCAACATGATCAATTGTGGAAAAGTACTACTTGCTGTAAAGGTCATGGGGACTCATTCTCGGCGTTTCTGTTTGAATGTAAATCTGACGTACTGGAAGCTTTGAGAACTGAAAGCTTATACTGAACCGAGGAGTCTGCATTTGAGCGATGCGCGGACATTAAGA